GCCCGCGTGACACGCAGATTCTGCGTGTCCCCACCCCGGCCCCCGGACCCCCGGCGTGCGACGCCACACGCAGATTCTGCGTGTCCCCACACCAGGCACACGCAGATTCTGCCCCGGCGGGGCCCGCGTGACACGCAGATTCTGCGTGTCCCCACCCCGGCCCCCGGACCCCCGGCGTGCGACACGCAGATTTGGGCCGCGTGACACGCAGATTCTGCGTGTCCCCACCCCGGCCCCCGGACCCCCGGCGTGCCCCGCAGATTTGCGTGCGCCACCCCTGCGGGGCCCCCGCGTGACACGCAGATTCTGCGTGTCCCCACCCCGGCCTCCAGGACCCCTGGCGTGCGACACGCAGATTCTGCGTGACCGCCCCCCTGGTGGGGCCCGCGTGACACGCAGATTCTGCGTGTCCCCACCCCGGCCCCCAGGACCCCCGGCGTGCGACACAGCCGCGTGAGCAGATTTGCGTGTCCCCACCCCGGCCCCCAGGACCCCCGCGTGCCCCGCGCAGATTTTGCGTGACCGCCCCCTGGTGGGCCCGCGTGACACGCAGATTCTGCGCCCCAGCCCGGCGTGCGACACGCAGATTTTGGGTCCGCGTGACACGCAGATTCTGCGTGTCCCCACCCCGGCCCCCAGGACCCCCCGCGTGCCCCGCGCAGATTTTGCGTGACCGCCCCCCTGGTGGGGCCCGCGTGACACGCAGATTCTGCGTGTCCCCACCCCGGCCCCCAGGACCCCTGGCGTGCGACACGCAGATTTTGCGTGACCGCCCCCCTGGTGGGGCCCGCGTGACACGCAGATTCTGCGTGTCCCCAACCCGGCCCCCGGTCCAGGCGTGCGACACGCAGATTTTGGGTCCGCGTGAAACGCAGATTCTGCGTGTCACGCAGATTTTGCGTGACCGCCCCCCCTGGTGGCGCCCGCGTGACACGCAGATTCTGCGTGTCCCCACCCCGGCCCCCAGGACCCCCGGCGTGCCCCGCGCAGATTTTGCGTGACCGTTCCCCTGGTGGGGCCCGCGTGACACGCTGATTCTGCGTGTCGCCGGCCCCCAGGACCCCTGGCGTGCGACACGCAGATTTTGCGTGACTGCCCCCCTGGTTGGGCCCGCGTGACACGCAGATTCTGCGTGTCTCCACCCCGGCCCCCGGGACCCCTGGCGTGCGACACGCAGATTTTGCGTGACCGCTCCCCTGGTGGGGCCCGCGTGACACGCAGATTTTGCGTGTCCCCACCCCGGCCCCCGGACCCCTGGGTGCGTGGGCGCGTGACACGCATTCTGATGTCCCCACCCCGGCCCCCAGGACCCCTGGCGTGTGCGACACGCAGATTCTGGGCCTGTGTTTGCGCCCCCCTGGCCCCAGGGGCGTGCGACACGCAGATTTTGCGTGACACCGCGTGACACGCAGATTCTGCGTGTCCCCACCCGGCCCCCGGACCCCCGGCGTGCGACACGCAGATTTTGGGCCCGCGTGACACGCAGATTCTGCGTGTCCCCACCCCGGCCCCCAGGACCCCCGGCGTGCGACACGCATTTTGCGTGACCGCCCCCCTGGTGGGGCCCGCGTGACACGCAGATTCTGCGTGTCCCCACCCCGGCCCCCGGACCCCTGGCGTGCGACACGCAGATTTTGGGCCCGCGTGACACGCAGATTCTGCGTGTCCCCACCCCGGCCCCCAGGACCCCCGGCGTGCGACACGCAGATTTTGCGTGTCCGCCCCCCTGGCGGGGCCCGCGTGACACGCAGATTCTGCGTGTCCCCACCCCGGCCCCCGGACCCCCGGCGTGCGACACGCAGATTTTGGGCCCGCGTGACACGCAGATTCTGCGTGTCCCCACCCCGGCCCCCAGGACCCCTGGCGTGCGACACGCAGATTTTGCGTGTCCGCCCCCCTGGCGGGGCCCGCGTGACACGCAGATTCTGCGTGTCCCCACCCCGGCCCCCGGACCCCCGGCGTGCGACACGCAGATTTTGGGCCCGCGTGACACGCAGATTCTGCGTGTCCCCACCCCGGCCCCCAGGACCCCGGCGTGCGACACGCAGATTTTGCGTGTCCGCCCCCCTGGCGGGGCCCGCGTGACACGCAGATTCTGCGTGTCCCCACCCCGGCCCCCGGACCCCCGGCGTGCGACACGCAGATTTTGGGCCCGCGTGACACGCAGATTCTGCGTGTCCCCACCCCGGCCCCCAGGACCCCTGGCGTGCGACACGCAGATTTTGCGTGACCGCCCCCCTGGTGGGGCCCGCGTGACACGCAGATTCTGCGTGTCCCCACCCCGGCCCCCGGACCCCTGGCGTGCGACACGCAGATTTTGGGCCCGCGTGACACGCAGATTCTGCGTGCGTCCCCACCCCGGCCCCCAGGACCCCTGGAGTGCGACACGCAGATTTTGCGTGACCGCTCCCCTGGTGGGGCCCGCGTGGCACGCAGATTCTGCGTGTCCCCACCTCGGCCGCGTGACACGCAGATTCTGCGTGTCCCCACCCCGGCCCCCAGGACCCCCGGCGTGCGACACGCAGATTTTGGGTCCGCGTGACACGCAGATTCTGCGTGTCCCCACCCCGGCCCCCAGGACCCCCCGCGTGCCCCGCGCAGATTTTGCGTGACCGCCCCCCTGGTGGGGCCCGCGTGACACGCAGATTCTGCGTGTCCCCACCCCGGCCCCCAGGACCCCTGGCGTGCGACACGCAGATTTTGCGTGACCGCCCCCCTGGTGGGGCCCGCGTGACACGCAGATTCTGCGTGTCCCCACCCCGGCCCCCGGTCCCGGCGTGCGACACGCAGATTTTGGGTCCGCGTGACACGCAGATTCTGCGCGCGTCCCCACCCCGGCCCCCAGGACCCCTGGAGTGCGACACGCAGATTTTGCGTGACCGCCCCCCTGGTGGGGCCCGCGTGACACGCAGATTCTGCGTGTCCCCACCCCGGCCCCCGGACCCCTGGCGTGCGACACGCAGGTTTTGCGTGTCCGCCCCCCTGATTTTGCGTGTCCCGCCCCAGGCGCGCTCCGTGTGACACGCAGATTTTGCGTGTCACGTGTACGCGACACGCAGGATTTGCGTGTCACGTCTACGTGTGCCCGATCGAGGATGGCGCGCCCCAGATCCAGACTCGGGCGCGCTCTCGAATGCATTTGCCCTGGGGCCTCCGGGGCCTAACAAGCACGTTCATTTCTAATTCCGGTCATTTGCAATTCCGGCCACGAATTACAAAATGAAGCGCGCCGAAGGGGCGGCGGAGGCCACGTGCAGCACACGAATTAGAAATGAGCACTCTGTATGACAACTTATGATTTGCGATACACGAGTGCGCGCGCATAATATGTTTTGCAGAGGATGGCGTGGGGGGGCGATACCGGTTGGCCTGGGATGGTACGAGTTCATATTTAGGATGGACGATGGGGTCGAATCATATGCAAATTGTGATGCGAAGAGGGAAAGTGATCATCGCGCGGGAGGGGTAGAGTCTACAACCAATGTAATGCAACCTATGAGGTGCAATCTGCGGGCGGCAACGGGCGGCACGAACGGCGACGGGCGGCGATCATCCCGACGGGCGGCGACGGCGACGGGCGGCGACGGGCGGCACGGGCGGCAACCACCCCGAGGGGCGGCGACGGCGACGGGCGGCAATCACCCCGAGATGGTTGACGCAAGTGAAAGCCCTTAAGTGCTGCAGGCGCTGTTTGGGAAATATGTTTAGATGCACCTGCATGTATCCACACACGCATCTATATATATATATATATATATATATATACATCTATTTATATACATATATGTATACACGTATGTATATACATATGTACGCCTATGCAGGCATACATGTACAAACATATATTTATACACATACATACATACGCACACACATGTACATATACACATCGCGGGGTCGAAGTGAAAGAGAGTGAGAGAGATAGAGAGAGCAAGAGAGAAAGACCGAGAAAGAGAGAGAGAGGGACAGAGAGAAAGATGACAACAACAACAACAACAACAACAACAACTACAGCAACAACAACAACAACAATGAATACACGCATATACATGCTTCTATGGGTGTATGACGGATCGGAAGGTAGACGGCATTAGTCCGAAGAGGGATCCCAACATATGTTGCCCAGGGCCTCTTGGATCAATTGCGGGGGAGTCGAAGCTAATCTTGGGAACCTATGGGAGTGGGCTTCTGGGAGATTCGTTTTGAAACTCGGTCCCAGAATATACAAAGAGCGAAGAACGTTCACACGGGCATTGGGCCGACTATTTCAAGCTACGAATTCGTTTTCGACGTGAGGATTGGTTGGTGCCCGCTTGTGGCCTCGTGAGGCCACACTGAAACAGATTGAAGCCTCTCTTGAGCCTCAAGCTAAGGTGAAACCGTCCAGGGTCATCATCGGGCTGGCATGGGTGATCTTGGGGACGTTTTGGGCCGTCGGGGGCAAAACATTCGAGGCCCGATGGCCCGCAACGCGCAAGGATCCCAGATAACATCAAGGGATAACCGAAAACGGCACGGACATGGGTAGCCACTTACCCAGAAATATGTGGAATCAATTGCGATTGGGAGCGGGGAGCGCTCCTCGAATGGGAAAGCTCGGACATGCAAACGTCCTGAACTCATCATCGGTATGTGATCCCAGGGGTCCTGCCCGGGCCCCGCGGTAGAGTGGTGTCTGGTGAGTGGGGCGGTGTTCGATTTGGCGTCAGGCAATGCCTGCAATGCGGTGCACAGCACGCCCCGGGGGAGGATGCGGGAACTCGGTCTGGGCAGTGGCGCTCCCTCTCGAAACATCAGGTGCGCCTGGCCGCCGAGCCGCACCTTCTGTGCAGCCTCTCGGCAGCGGGGCCCAGTGGATTACCTTTGGTGCGCGGCTTTACGGCGCCGCGGGGGGGGCCAAGTCCAAGCGCGCAAACCAATGCGGGGGGGACCCCTGTGGGCCCACACCCAAGGTCAATCTGGCGAAAGGTCACTCTGACGAGAGGGCGGCGGCGAGTCACCCCGGCGCCCAGGAAGGCCTTCCTGACAAGGGGGCGCGGCAGGAGGCACGAGTGGAATGATGCCGCTAGTGTCTTGCGTCTTGCGGTCGCCAGCGCGCTGAAGTAACTTCTCGTGGAATTGCAACCAGGGCAGACATGAGCTTCACCCTCCCTCAAAGTGCAATAGCAACGTTCAATCAAAGCACGGCCCTCTTGACTCGATGCTCGTCAGCAGACTCAGCCTCTCGGAGCCGAGAGTGTGTTTCCAGGACAAGGGGCGCCTCTGCCAGGCACGCCAACGAAAGCGACAGTGCTGTCTACGACGCCTAATGCAATGCGGAACACGCGCGATTAACACCAGGGAAAAAAGCTGATTTGCCCAAGTGCAGAGTCGTCATCATCACAGCGACACAACCGATTGCGAAACACCTGGCGGCGACACTGCTGCATTCTTCGCTTAGCAGCGCTGATAGCACACGGTGCATCCGACAACACAGAACACATACCAAAGGAGAAGGGGCTCGCTAATTTCGCCGTGCTCTTCCGACCAATCGTAGTTTCATCCCGTTCGTACCCTCCGGGTGCGTAACGTTTGACAATAACCACCACTTGCCGTGACAATCGGTGATTTGCTGTTGAGCAGGCACTGCGACGAACGGTTCGACTTGTGCCTCGTCTGTTCGTCTGCACCATTGGCGGAGTCGACGGATGTGGTATCGTCTTTGCGAGTTCACGTCCGGAACCTACGCGCTTCTGGAGGGCACTCGAGAGCGGAGCGCACGGCAGACGAGCGGCACTAACCAGCCAACGTCCAGATTTTACGCGCACCCTACGAAGCGAGAGGAATCTTGGTCTGGATGCGACTTGTTGCCGGAGGCAGGTCCGTAGCGCCGCGGAGTCTAACGTATTTTCTGTGTCTTCTGAACACGCATACATGAGAGTTGTGTTAATTGATATCGTCACGCCCCCTCCTGGGCGCCACCATATCCGCGAACCAAGATTACCCCCATTCGGGTCGCCAGAAGCTCGCAAGCACCTACAAGTACATGTCACATGTGGGCCTTTCGGGCCTCTTTAGGGTCTACGGTCTACGGGGGCCTCAAGACGGCTCTAGAGGGCGTGAGGATGGCCCGACACACAAATGTATGTATGACTCCAAGATGGCTCCAAAAAACCTCAGAATTGCTCACAAAAGCCTCAAGACTTCCCAATGGGCCCCCGACGGCCCTAACAGGGGCCACGCCCGTTCGCGCCTCGATTGTGGTGACGTGTCGAGCGGTGTGCTTCGTGCTCTGTCTCTTTCAGGGGCGCGTGATCATCGCGATGTAACAGGCACAACACTTGGGCACCCCAAGGTGGAACCGCCAGGGAGTACATCATGGGCCCGTTCGCGCCCAGATTGTGGGGGTGTCTCCAGTGGTTGGCTTGTTTGTGGGAGGCAGAAGTGTCTCTTTTCAGGGCCGCGTGATGATCATCGTGATGCAGCAGGCGTAGCACTTGGACACCCCAAGAGGGAACCGCCAAGGGGTATAGCCCGGGCCCGTTTGCGCCCAGATTGTGGGGATGTCTCCAGCAGTTGGCTTGTTTTGCGAAGTAGACGTGTCAATCTACAAGGCCGCCTGGTCATCAAGGGAAAACCGCCAGGGGGTAGATCACGGGCCCATGCACCCCCAAATCGTGGGAATGTCTCCAGCGGCTCGCTCCCCACATCCACAATGGGGTTCTGGACGGCCCCGCGCAGGAACAGGAACAAGAACGCCCCCCCACCACCATCATCGTCATCATCATCATCATCATCATCATCACCACCATCATCATCATCCTCATCATCATCATCAGCAGCAGCAGCAGCATCATCGTCATCATCATCATCACAATCATCATCAACATCGTCATCGTAGTCGTCATCGTCATCATCCGGCAACATCATCATCATCAAACAACATCATTATCACCACCATCACCATCGCTATCATCATCATCATCATCATCATCATCATCATCATCATCATCATCATCATCACCGTCATTCTGTGCAACAGAGGCGTGGTGCACACAACGCAGCGTCCGCCCAGAGCCCAAGCACAGCTTGCCTCCAGCATGAGCTTACGAAACTCGGCACGCCTTCAGGTAACGCAATGGCCGCTCGCTCATCACTATCAACATCATCATCATCATCACCATCATCATCCTCATCGTCATCACCACCATAATCATCGTCCTGATCATCACCATCTCATCAGCATCATCGTTATCAACATCATCACCATTCCACACACAAATATCAGTCCATATACAGTCACGCATTCACTTCATCACCATCGTCACCATCAGCAAAATCATCATCACCATCATCATCCTCATCATCATCATCATCATCATCATCATCATCGAGAGAGAGAGAGAGAGGAGAGAAAGCGCGTTTCACGGGCGCTTGCCTTGGGAACAGTCGGCGGCGGGTTTCGAAAAGGGGGGATGGGCCTCCCCCCATCACTCGGCGCCGTCGATCAGAACCAGGAGGACTCTCCTCCCCTCTAACCACCCCCCGCCCGAACCCCCCCCCTAAGGGGGATGGGGTGGTTCAACCCCCCCCCCGGCGTCGGCGCTGGCGCCGGCGCTGGCGGCCGCCAGCAGCGCCGACGGCGGGGACGCAGCGACGACTACCAGAGGCAGCCCAGGGGGGGGTCCAAACCCCCCCCCCGCGAAGGCGCCGGCGCCGGCGCCAGCGCTGGCGGCGGCCATCCATCCGCCGACGGCGGGGACGCAGCGACGACTACCACCACTACCACCACCACCACTTCAGCCCACCACCACCACCACCACCACTGACCCACCACACAACCACCACCACCACCACCACCACCACAGCCACCACTACCACCACGACCACCACCACCAAAACTAACCACCACCACCAGCACAAAAACCCACCACCACTACAACCACCACCACCACAATCTACCACACCACCACCACCACCACCACCGCCACAACCACCACCACTACCAACAGCATAACCCCCACCACCACCACCACAAACCACCACACCACCACCCACCGCCACCACCGCCACCACAACACCACCTCCACAAACAACCGCCACAACCACAACCCACCCCACCACCACCAAACCACCACCACCACCATCACAACCCACCACCACCCACCACCACACACCACCACACCACCACAATCCACCACCACACCACCACCAAACCACAGCTACCACCACAACCACCACCACTACAACAACCACCACACACCACCACCACAACCACCGCCACCGCCACCACCACCACAACCCACCACCACCACCACCACAAACCACCACACCACCACCACCAACAACAACCACCACCACCACCACCGCAAAAAGCCACCTCCACCACCACAACCACCACCACCACCGCTACCACCACCACCACAACCACCACCATCACCACACCAAACCACCACCGCCACCGCCACCACCACCGTAACCCACCACCACCACCACCACAACCCACCACACCAGAAACCACCGCACCGCCACCACCACCGCCACCACCACCGCCACCATCACCACCACAACCTGCCACCACAACCACCACAACAGCCACCACCACCACCACCTACACCACCACCAACCACACCACCGCCACCACCACCACCGCCACAACCACCACCACCACCACCACCACCACCACCACCACCACCACCACCACAGCCCACCACCTCCACCACCACCTCAGAGAGGCCCCAAGATACGCCCAAGAGGCGCCCAGGAAGCTGCACAAATGCCCTTCAGAGGACCCCGAAAGCCCTCCGACGAGACCCCAAGAGGCATCCATTGGGACTCTGACCCAAAAGCAAGACACGGTGGCGGAGCGTCGTCGTCGTCGTCAACGTCGTCGCCGTCGTCCTCGTCGACGCTCCCTGCCGCCGCCGCCCGCCGCCGCAGGCGCGGCCCAGAAAAGGAAGTCGTCGTCCCCGCCGCCGCCAGCCGCCGCCGACGCAGGCGCCGGCCCGAGGAGAGGGAGAGAGGAGAAGTAGGGGAGAGAAGGGGGGGGGTTCGAACCCCACCCCTCTTCATCCAGGGAGGGGGGTTGTCCGGTTCCACCCCCCCCCCTCCAAGCGACCACAGAACGCGCTCTTTCTCATCTTCAATATCTTCACTATCATCGCGCACACAATCACACACTCGATCAAACATCCACCTTGGGGAAGTCTCGAACGGCAACCTCGTATGTGAATGTGATGCGAGGAAGTATCGAGCGGGCTCCCCGTCTCCAAAAGCCCCCCACTTCATGGTCGAATCCGAGGCGGTCACCGGCAAATTGTGACGAACACCATACAGGAGCATCACAGTGGGGCAACTCGTGAGGATGTCTCGAGCGGGGGCTTCGTCGCTGAGCGAATTGCGAGGAAATATCAAACGGGGCCTCCCCTTGCCTAAAGGCCCCCATGAACCCCCTTTCTGGGGGCCCCGCTTCACTTTCTGACCCGAGGCGGTCATCGGCAAGCTGGCACCGCACTTCAACACCCCAAAAGGGGCAATCGTGAGGAAGTCTCGAACGGCAGCCTCGTCTAAGGGCGCCTCATCTCATGCTATTCCGAGGCGGCCAATGGCAAACTGTAGAAGGCATAGTAGCACTTGAGCACCCCACAGGGCGGCGTAATCATCGCGATGCAGCAGTCATGGCATTTGGGCGCTCCAGGGAGAGCCGCCAGGGAGTACATCACGTGCCAGGTCGTGGGGATGTGTCGAGCGGTTCGCTTGCTTCTGGGAGGATGACGCATCCCTTGTTAGGACCGCATGATCATCGCGATGTAAAGGGCATGGCGTTTCTGGGGGAGACGCCAGGGGGTGCAACACGGGCCCATTCGCGTTCAGATTGTGGGTATTTGTACGCCTCGCCCCGCCCAATCTCGCAAACCCGCTCGTGCTCAGGCACTCAGAGAAAAGGAATCCTCCAGAACGAGGCCTCCAAAATTGCCCAAGGGACGCCCTAACAAGCCTCAAGACAGCCCTGAAGACGCCCAAGAAGCCCTCCCAAGGCTACCAAAGGCCTCAAACGGCTTCCCCGAGGCAGCAAACAGCTCCGAAGACACCCCCGCCGAGGCTCCAAGATTTCCCCAAGAAACCCCACATCAGACCCCAGGAGACCTCCAATCGACCTCCTCCTCCTCCTCCTTCTACTCCTCCTCCCCCTCCTCCTCCTCTTCCTCCTCCTCCTCCTCCTCCTGCCGTTGAGTGTGCACGCGCGCAACGCCTAAACTTTCCGCGTTCTTGACGTTCACCCCGTGAAGCGAAAAGAGTCCACTGCCGAAGTGCTCTTTCAAGGTCAAGCCTGGAGCTGTCTTCGCTGAAGCCATTGCGCGCCACCCTCTGTAACATTATGCAAAGTATGAGAATGTTGTGTCTTCAACTCGCTGTATAATGTTTCGCAATCCCCCTGCTCCCCCCTGATGATGGGCCAGGTCACATCAGCATCGCCTCAAAATGTTCGCGTCGCCTCCTGAGCCATCAAACTGGGGTGCGAGAGAACCAAGTCGAGGCCACGACTGCGCGCATGCGGCACAACATGGCAGCAGGACACGCCAAGACGAGCCTCGAAGACTCCAAGACGGCGAACGAAGGCTCCGATCTGCCCTCGGACGCCCTCTTCAGGAGCGACAGAACCCAAATCAGCGTTGGAGGCACAATGAAATTTTCAATGTGCTTCGTCTCCCTGCCGTTTTGCCCCGAGGTGGACCCAACATGACCCAAGACAGGACCAGGGCGACCCCGCGGAAGTGCCCAAAATGGGTCCTGGTCGGCGTCCCAAAGGACCCCAGAGAGGCTGGCTTGAAATCGCCCTAGGGCGGCCTTATCCCACCGTGAGGCTCAACAATGATAAAGAGGGTTCCAATAAGGCCTCAGGTGCTCGAAGAGGATTCCAAGAAGGGCGCCCGGATCCCCAGAGGATCCGAAGTTAAGGTTCGGATTTTCAAGGATGAGGTCCTGAGGGGTGGGATCCTGAAGACGAGGTGCCTCAAACTATGTAAATCCGCCCTTGGATCCCTTCCTGTTCTTAGGACCCCAACCCTCAGAACCCCATCTTGAACCACACAAAGGCATACAACCCCCACAAGTGCCCCAACGAGATGCATGTAGCCGCTCGCCCGTGAATCGGCGAGGCGCCGGGCATCCACAAGTGGACTGCGACGCTGGGATGGGCTTGGGATTTTGCCCAAGGACCACCCGAGGGTGAACACGAGTTCCTGATAGGGACAGAACGGACTCAAGAAAGCCACCAAAGGCCTGAGGATCCGAAGAGGGCCCCAAAATGCCTGAGGGGAGCCCTCGTGCCCCAGGGCCTCCAGAATGCTCGAATGATCCCGAAAAGGCCTAACTCAAAACGTATAGCCGTCAAGCTTCGCTGACGCGAAGCGCTGGGTACCATAATCTGGATTGCAATCGCCGCACTCTTCCGTGAAGATGTGAAGCGGCATTTTTCAACTTGTGTGAGATTGGAGGCGACGTATGGCTGCTCCTGGGTGTCCTGACGCCCGCAGGGAGAAGGGGGGCCTGTCCTGTCGATGGCCTCTCCGAAGCAGAGCGGCGCGAGCGCAAAGACTATCACGATGTTCCAGCAGTTGAAGCAAGCGAGCAGCTGGGAACTTGATACATCTGAAACGAACGAGCGGGAACGAGTAGGTTTGGGAGTGAGAGGGAGTGAGGGATTGACAGTGGCATCAAGCTAGAGTTCTGCACGCATTGCCAGAACTGTGGTCACTCCAATATCCAATGCCACGCAACGATGTCGCCGCTCGTTACTACTCCGGCGCATGAACGAGCACGGCATCCAAATGTTTGTCATCTTAGCGAGCAAAGAGACAAGGACGTCGAACTGAGGGGATGGCATGAGGAGAATACGACATGGGTGGATCAAAAGAAATACTCAGGAAGTCAGAGGAAGGCAGGTGCGCACAGCACAACAAATTACGCATGCTGGAGGGACTTCGTCGTCTCAGATCCTTGGCTTTTCGCTGCGATACACGCCCCGACCACTAACTCGTATCGGGGTAGCTTGCGCACGTCCAAGAAATCCGCCGACCCTCGGCGTGTGGAAGACGCTCTTCCGTTGGTCGCCGTCGTCGTCGTCGTTGTCTCCGTCTCCGTCGTCTCCTCGTCGTCTCCGTCGTCCCCAGTCTCTTTTCCATGGGCCCTCATCCTGAAGCGCGCTAGCCAAAGCGACATTGAGTAACGTTGTCGCTGAGTCGAAGGGAAGCCCCTTCCCTTTGATCCCTTCCCCACCAGGGGTGGGGGGGGGTGGGGGGGGGAGGGGTCGCCGGGGGGGGTCGCCACCCAGATACGCCTCCCCCCCGGGCGGTTCTGGGGCCCAGAAAACCCCCAAGACGCGGCAAAAGTGCCCCAAGAGGCTCCAAGACGGTCCTCGAGGGCCCCGCATCGCCGAACTATCGGTCGAACACGCCAGAGTCGCCTCCAGACGGCTCAAGAGGTTTCGAGAACGTCCCAAGAGGCCTCCAAAAGCACTCCCAAGAATGCCCCAAGGTGCAAAATTCATAGCATTCCTTTTGTTTTTTGACGGTTTTTGGAGTTCTCGCGTTTTCGGCTTCCCGACGCTTCAAGACGGCCAAGAGGCCCAAGACGGGCCAAGAGGCCCCCAAGACGGCCCCAAGACGACCCAAGATGGCCCCAAGACGACCCTAGAGGCCTCCAAGACGGCCCAAGAGGCCCCGAAGACGGCTCCAAGAGGGAGCCCAGACAGGGGAGCCGAACGGACATTTCGAGCCCTCGCCCTGAGAGGCGCCCGGGCGGCCCCCAGAGGCCCCCAAGAAGCCCCCCAAGAGGCCCCAAGAGGCCCCCAAGTGACCCCCAGGAAGCCCCAAGAGGCCCTCACGAAGCTCCCAAGAGGCCCCAAGAGCCTCCGAAGAGGCCCCAAAACTACCCTCAAGAGACCCCCGAGAGCGCTCGTCGTCGCCGTCGCCGTCGCCGTCGCCGTCGCCGTCGTCGTCGTCGCCCTTCAGGGTCGGCGGCACTGGCCGTAAGGCCTTCGCAATAGACTCCGTGCTCGGCGTGTCCTTCGACCGCGTACGTAGCTGACGACTCTGGCAGCTCGACGCCATGTCCCCTTGTCCACTGGGTCAGCACACAAACAAGCGCAAAACGTTGGCTCCGAGCGAGGCGCGATCCCGTCCGCGAAGCAGCACAGCACCTGCCCAAGAAGCCACAGGACCAGCCCGAAGAGCCATCGCCAGTCCGTCCAGTACCACCTGCCTCCTGGAAGGGGCCGGCGAACGCAGTCAGGGCGGCCGCGATGCTTTGGCGCAGAGGCAGGGGAACGGGGGACAGCCTGGGAGGGCTGGTCGCACGGGCGCACGCAGGGGCAACGCAAAGTGTAGAAGGGGGCCTGGAGCGCGATTTCTTCTTCTCCGCGGCGCCACGCACGATGTGGGTGTACCCGCCGCGGCTTCGAGAGGGGTAGCGGCATTCGCGCCCCATCTCTCTTTCATGCTTGTGTGTTTGTTTGTTTGTTTGTTTGTTTGTTTGTTTGTTTGTGCATTTTGTTTTTGTCTCCTCCCCCTCTCTCTCTCTCCTCACTCCGTTCCGCCTCTCCTCCTCCCAGTGGCGCCGACATGGTAGAAAGCGGGCTGGCTGGAGAGCGAGCAATCAGCTGGGGTCGAGGGTGCATCGATGGTGCTGCTTCTGCAAGCAGCCATCGCGGAGCTTCGGCACGCGCCGCTGACCTTTACGCTCGAGGAGCTGCTTAGGAAAATGCTATGACGTCGCCCCGACGGGGTCGCCGATCACGACAATGATAGCATCAGCAATGCTGTCGAAAGATAGTCCGACACACTGATGCGGTAAAATCGGCGAGAGGATCTATAGCAGAAGTGTGAGGGCTCCCGGCAACGCGTGCTCGTACTTAATGGGTATGTGATGCATGAACAGATGATGGTGATGATAATGATGCTGCTGATGACGATGCTGTTGTTGATGATAGTGCTGGTGGTTATAACGATGACGATGACGATGACGATGATGATGATGTTGATGACGACAACGAGAATGATGATACTGGTGATGATGAGGATGATGATGATGATGGTGATGATGATGCTGCTGCTGATGAGGATGGTATGCTCCCCAAGCGGTGATTGCACTACGGGGTTCTTACTCGTCTCCCTACACAACCGGGTAAATTCCCTTGGCTTTCGCGCGGTGGGGCCCATCGCCGCCACGTCGCCGCCGCGCGCTGGCTGGGTTCCCGGGGTGTTCGCGCGGCGGGCGCCCGTCGTTACATCGCCGCCGCCTCGTGCGCTGGCTGACATGCGAACATGCCCCACATAGCTTACGCCGCTGAGAGGGCACGGGGTGCACTTCCCGCATTGAACAAGAGTCACACCAACCCTCTCGGTGGTCTAACGAAATGTTGTTATTCCTGTTTCCTGTTTCCACAACCCCCCGTTTTTTTTTTCCTTCGGGGAAAATGTATTACTGCTCTCTTTTAGTATACACCCCCTCCCCCACCCGAGCGGCGACAAACCCGGGACCCAGGACCATGAGCCCCCCCCGCCTTCCCGGATAAAAAAAACAACGTTCACTTTGCGGCAACACGCTCGTCGTCATAGTCGTGGGCCCCGCGAGCATTTTGGGGAGGGATGGCGGGGGTGCTAGCATATTGCTTGCCGTGTGCAGGCCCACCAGACATCATGATGGCCACCCACCGCGATTGTGCACTGGCTTTCGACAAGGCGAAATGTTTCCCGATATGCGCGTGCGCATCTGGCACAGTGTGCGCGTGCCCCGAAAGTGCCCACCTGGCGCGGCTGGAACATGCGGCACGCCTGGCGCACGCGGAGCACGTGGCGCATCTGGCGCACCAGTTGTGCCTGCCACACTTGGGCCCCAGGGGCGCCTGGCGCGCCTGGTGCGCGTGGCGCGCCTGGCACGCGTGGTGCACCTCGCCCCAGCGTCGCGCACCTGGGGTCTGTACTGGCTCCCAATAGCTGCCCATCGAAAGACGGCCGCTGAATATGATGAGACTCGGTTACTGCTTACGTGTTGGGATGACGGGTGGGAGTGAGCCAAACAGCTTGCGTCTGTGACAGATGTCTTGATCACCGTTCCCTATTAAGAAACACCCCCTTCTCCCAGGCGACCGGCAGCCAACCAGGATCCATGCCGACCCCCCCCCCCCCATGCTGCAACAACAACTATGCGATACGCTTTGCCTCCAAATCTGGAGCATGCGCAGGCGCCTCGCAACCACGTTGCGTTGCTTATGGAACCGGGGGTGCCACTATTTGGCTTGCTGTTCGCAACCTAATTATTTCGGTTGAAAATTATATAAAAACAAGCGTTGCCACCAAATCTGGAACATGCGCGGGCCCGTGACCACTTTGCATGGGTTTCGGCAGAGACGTCAGGGGTGTCTCATATTGCTTGCTGCTCGCAGGCCAACATTCCCTGCCAACATACAATGCAGCATGCACTGCGCTTCTCAATATATGGAGCATTCGCGGGCACCCCGCGACCGCATTGCATTGATTCTTGACAAAGATACTCGGGTGCTACTATTCCGGCCGGAGTACTTGTGTGCTGAGAGGGCGGGTGGGAGTGAGCGAGACGGCTTGCGCCTTGTGAGCAGGAGGCTTCTTGAACCCTCACTCTACCCCCCCCCTGGGTGGGAGGGGGACGGAGGTGCCAGGAGGTCCTTTTTCGCCCAAGATGGCTCCAAGAAGGCATCCGACGCTCCAAGATGGCCTCCAAAGTGGTTCAAGATAGCCAAATATGGTCCAATCTAACTTCCGACATACCTCCAAGATGCCCCAAGATGGCCACAAAACGGCCCCAAGGGCTCTCGGAGCCAGCCAAAGATCCCCCCAATTGTCCAAATTCATTCAAACACCAAACAATACATGAGTTGTGCCTTCTCGCTTTTCTGCGTCCGATGGACTTCCGAGGCCTCAAGGCGGCCCGGCTGGGCCCCAAGAGGGGCCCAAGAGGCCACCCCAAGACGGCCCCAAGAGTGCCCCAAGAGACGGTTTTGAGGGCTTTTCAAATCGGGGCGTAGACAAGGGGGCCCTCCTCGGCCTCCATGATGGACTCAAGAGGCCCACGACTCACAACCCCTTAAACGAGCCCCACCTAAGAGGGCCTCGAGAGAGCCCTAACAGGCCCACAAGAGGGCCTCAAGAAGACCAGCTCTCATCTGCAGCGTGTCTGGACGGGCTGGTGGGGTTTTTCGATCGCGACCGCGGCGAAACAAGTTGGGCGGCGGAAGCGAACGAAACGCATATGCATCGGCCTAAATTAGCGCGAAGGAGAAGGGCGAAACGAAAAAGAGCAAGAGCGGACAGAAGAGACGGACATCAGGCGAACATCACTGCCGCTCAGAAGAGCGCCGGCACCAGGAGGAGCCCCTGGGCGTCGTGCGGCACCACGAGGTAATTGAAGAAACCCTCGACCTGGATGTGGAAGACCGTCGCGAGGAACAGCACGCCATGGACACAGCAAGGAACCATCACATCACGACGGGCCTCGACAAGGGGAGGAGCATGCCGTGCGGGCGCTAAAAAAAGCTGGTGGGGACACTTTTTTGTCGCAACCGCGAGCGAAAACGCAGACGGCGAGTACCGGAACGGGCGGGCCGCGCGCCAACCTAATTGCCTAACGCGCTGGCAAACAGAGCCAAGGCGGCAACTGGTGGGGACACGCGAAGCGTGAAGAATTATTGTAGGGACTGTTGAAGTGGGAATTTCGGACGGGTGTGCGTCTTGCAGCATCGCTGATGCTATTGGGTTTGCTCTGGTCCATCTCCTCCTCCTCCTCCGTATTCCTCCCCCAGGTTCTCCCACAAGTTTTCCCACTAAGGCTAGGGGAACACATTGCCGACTTGGCAAGACTTTTGTCCAGCGCTTGGCCACATAGGCGCTTCAGAAAAGCATGGTGCGGCGGTGGTTCGCCGTAGGTATCTTCGATACTTATGCTCGGAGGTAGTCCAAAAAACGTGTAGACTGTTGCCAGCGTTCATCTGTGCACGAATCGCACGATCTGGGCACAAGCACTACTTCGAATGTGTGGTACGCTTAAGCGCCGCGATTGCTCCGCACCCCTCCTCAACATGTTACTACAAACGGGACGCGCCCCATCGTACATCTCCCACGTTCGCACGCTGTGCCAATCCCTGGTAGAATCGGAGCGTTGAGAGGACATATGTACTATTATGAATGGGTGGCGAAGGCCGAATATTTACCGGCAGGCGTACTCGCGGTACTCGCGCCTCCTGTCCTCAACCTCCTCGTCGCATGGGGGAGGAAGCGGTCCGTCCCTGCTGTACTGGTGGGACACCTTCTGCACCATGAAGCCAAGCACCGTCAGTGTAGAACCCATGAGAGTGGCCACTACGCCCACGATCCAGAACCAGCGGGAAGCCTCAGCGGTAGTTGCGTCCCTCTCTTTCATTTCTCGTCTCTCGTTTTTCTCCACTCTCCTCGCCCCTCCTCGTCTATCCTAGCACTATTACATTCGTCTTCTCTCTGTCTCGCTCTCTCTCTCTCTCTGTCTCTCTCTTTCTCTCTCTCTCTCTTTCTCTTGTTTTCGATGTCTCTCTCTCTCTCTCTCTCTACCTCCACCTCTACCTCTGCCTCTACTGTCTCCACCCATTTCTACCTGTCCGTCTCCATGCCCCTCCCTCGGGCGCTGCGACGAGAGCGGATTCCCGGATAGCTCCCGAGAGGGGCATGACGTGTACAATTGCATGTCATTCGCCTCGCTACTCAACGCTCGAAAATGAGCTCTGCCCCAGCGGCAATGGCTGCAATGTCCAAGGATGCCTCCGCCCTTCCCCATCTCTCGCGGCATCCTTTCTTCAGGCTCCTCCCTTCCTGCACAGGCCCAATGAGCATGGTTCGCATCCCGAGCACGCTTCCAGGCACGGCGTCTGTCTGGACAACGCTCGAGAATGACGGCGACTCGCGCCAGCCCTCCCCGAGCTATTCGCCCCAGTGGCAAGCCAAGCGCAGAAAGAGCCTGAGAGCATGAGGAGGAGGAGGAGGCGGAGGCGGAGGAGGCGGAGGCGGAGGAAGAGGAGGGAGAAGGACGCTCCTCCTCCCTCCTCCTCCTCCTCTCCAGACCTCCGACGTTGTAAATTGTTTCACCACGCGAGACCTTGTAGATCTGGACCTTCTCCCTGGGACCGGCTTTTCATCCCGAGTCGTCTTGTGACTGCCCCGGGCCCCGTGAGGGCCCCAGAAGCCGACAACTGCCCCAAACCTCCCGCCGTGACTCTTGCTGCAACGAGAGGAATCCTGGATTGGAGTGTCAAAAGTCCATCCCGAGACCGATCCTGGGGAGCGTCCCGACCAGACATTCAAGGCAGACCCAGCGGGTGCGACGAGGACACTCCACGGTGCCCAGAAACAGCGAAAAACGTCGAAGAACCTCGAACCTCGAAGCTTGAATTTTTTATTCGCACTCCCCCCTGGGCTATTCTCTCCCCATCGCGGTATGGGGCACCTCGAGCAGGGCGCCGTCGGACTCCGACCGCTCCGCGCTGCCCGGCTGGGCAGAGAGCGCCCGCACCGAGATCAGGTCCTCGCGGCGCCGCGTCGGGGCCAGGGAGGGAACTCCCACCAGCCCTCCGGGCGCAGGTGGTTTAGGGAGTTTGTGTTTCCAGCCTCTTTCTTTCCCTTCGGGGAGAGGTTTACCTCTCCCCCTACCTACCCCCTCTCCCTGGGTCTGGAATGCTCCCCCGCGAGGGGTCAGAGCGTCCAAGATGGCCCCTACGAGGGTCAGAGCGTGGGGACGGAAATGTCCCAAATCTCCGACGGTTTGATTCGTTCAACCGACAGCTTTCACAGCGGTTCCGGCCAGAACTACAGAGGGGGAAATGGTCGGGGCCGGTGGGCCCGCGGATTGAAAACATCAGACCATCAGATGTCAGGGTGTGTCCTTTTCACGTCGCGGCACAACGCAACGCTCCCTTGGTAAGTGGTGGCCTAGCGTAGAAAAAGTGGCGGGATGTTGTGATGAAGTGGACTCGTGGTGGAGGCCACGTTCAGCAGAGAACGATACGAACTTGTCTCAAGATCGTGTCCAAGGAAGTGCACACCTTAAGTCGGCGGGATAGGGGAGGCGCCTGGAGGCGTCGTCTGGTAGACTCGGGGGGGGGTAGGACAGCCAGGGAGGGGTGGTCGGAGAAGGGTGAGGATGCGTGGGAGGGGCCGGGGAAGGGGGAGATAGGGGTCCGGGGAGGCGTGGAGTCGCACGGTGCGCGGTCAGGCTGGCGCCAGAGACGAGGAGTCGGGCGCACTTTTTCGCCCAAGGAACTGATCTCGATGACGCAAGCATGCGACCCCTTAGCCTGTCCCGTGCCGCGCACAGCTGGTGAAAAGTGAGACAGGAGATGGAGCCAAGGACGACGACAACGACGACGGAGAGACGGAAAGAGGAGACCCCCGCAAAGAGGAGACCCCCGCAAAGCAGGGTTCGAACGTTTCGTGTACAACGAGGCGAACGAACTGCGGCCTTCAAGAGGCAGCGACTCGACAGTGTGGAGGTCACGGGATCTGCGTCCAGCCCAGCTTGCGTCAGGATAGTCCAGCACATCGCGGGAGGCAGAGCGGCGGAGAGGGGAGGAGCAGCGAAGAGGGCGGCGCACTGCGCGCAGGCAGGCGGGCCCGCCTACGGCGGTTAGGAACAGTGCAACCAAAAATTGCTCAGTGTGCCCCCACCAGAGCGCCGGCATATCAGACTTTCCAAGACACTCGCTGAGTAGTGGCTGCGCGTGCGCGTGCCCACTGCAGGCAGACTCCGTAAACATTGATTCGGCCAAAGTTTGGGAAAATTGCCCAGGCAGGATGGGGCCCGAGGCTCTCAAAACAATCTCGCCCGTGCCAAGGTAACCGAGGGCCGGAGAGGCCCGAATGGCCCGACCTGGCACTCCCAGAGGTTCCCTTGGAAGCTCTGTCCCCACTGAGGCTCGTGGGACTGGACGGCCGCAGTCCATGAAGTGGCTGGCGGCGGCGGTCGCAGCTGCGGGCACGACTGTGTCCCACCTCATCGTGAAGACATCCGACGCCTGCCACCCCTCCACTGTCAGACGGCAGAGGGAGGGGGGCGAGGACGAGCAGCTGGAAGCACATCTGTTCTCTACGGCAGGTTCGCGTCGTGTCGACCCCGGCATTGGTTTCTGACACCAAGGAGATCGTTCAACCTTGCACTATTGGCCGGCCGTTTCCGAAACGTCAGATCGTTCAACATCGACCCATTCTGGGTCGCCAATGGCGTCCAACGTTCAGGAAGGGGAGGATGAGGAACAGATGAGCTGACTGACACATAGTGCCCGACCTCAACACGCACGCTCGGGATCGAGAAGAGAGCGGGTGCGCGGCAGATCGACGAGCAAGACAAACACATTCGTAAGCAGGGCGCCAGAAACACCAGAGGACTTCTCGTCGATGGCCTCATCCTTATCCAAGCCGCTGGGGCTTTGAAGTGTTTGAATCGGGATAATTCCCATATCTGGAATCCCTGTGATGCCCCTGGTCTCATCGTCCCCTTCTTCTTCTTCCTCCTACTGCTGATCTTCCTCCTCCTCCTTCTATTCCGCCACTTCCTCCATCTCGCCATTGCTCTCGACGTTACAGAGCAAACATAATGTGTGGCTTCTCCCAAAGTGGGGTCGATCTGGATTCTCCTCATCATCATCAGCCTGTTCATGCTCCTCCTCCTCCTCCTCTTCCTCCTCCTCGACCGCCTGCTCCTTCTCCTCCTCCTCCTTCTCCTCCTCCTCATCCTCCTCCGCCTCCCTCTTCCCCCTCGTATGTTGAGCCAGCTGGCCCGATCACAGATTTACATCTGCCCGTGCGCACATATCCACATGTGTTCGACTACTGGCTTTTAGACTCTGAGTGCGTCGGCTGCTCGTTCGCGGCGTCTACCACCACCGCATGCACATCCCTTTTTCCTTGGGCGAGGATGGTGATGGCGAGGATAGTGCTTATGATTGCTGACTGATTGCGATGTGGGTACTCCCGCAGTGATGCACTCAAGATGCTTGCTGATCTGCCTCGGTCGCAGCATGGCTCTCCAACGTGGCGCAAGGGTGCCGAGCCGAGGCACTCGGCTAAGTGAGGCACCCACTGGCACGTGATGGTGATGGTGATAGCCACGATGATGGTGACACTGATGGTGATGATGAGGAGGATGATGATGCTGCTGATGCTGATGCTGCTGCTGCTGATGATGATGGATATGAGGACGATGACGATGGTGATGGATGATGATGGTGATGGATGATGATGGTTTCTGACACCAAGGAGATCGTTCAACCTTGCACTATTGGCCGGCCGTTTCCGAAACGTCAGATCGTTCAACATCGACCCATTCTGGGTCGCCAATGGCGTTCAACGTTCAGGAAGGGGAGGATGAGGAACAGATGAGCTGACTGACACATGGTGCCCGACCTCAACACGCACGCTCGGGATCGAGAAGAGAGCGGGCGCGCGGCAGATCGACGAGCAAGACAAACACATTCGTAAGCAGGGCGCCAGAAACACCAGAGGACTTCTCGTCGATGGCCTCATCCTTATCCAAGCCGCTGGGGCTTTGAAGTGTTTGAATCGGGATAATTCCCATATCTGGAATCCCTGTGATGCCCCTGGTCTCATCGTCCCCTTCTTCTTCTTCTTCCTCCTACTGCTGCTCTTCCTCCTCCTCCTTCTATTCCGCCACTTCCTCCATCTCGCCATTGCTCTCGACGTTACAGAGCAAACATAATGTGTGGCTTCTCCCAAAGTGGGGTCGATCTGGATTCTCCTCATCATCATCAGCCTGTTCATGCTCCTCCTCCTCCTCCTCTTCCTCCTCCTCGACCGCCTGCTCCTTCTCCTCCTCCTCCTTCTCCTCCTCCTCATCCTCCTCCTCCGCCTCCCTCTTCCCCCTCGTATGTTGAGCCAGCTGGCCCGATCACAGATTTACATCTGCCCGTGCGCACATATCCACATGTGTTCGACTACTGGCTTTTAGACTCTGAGTGCGTCGGCTGCTCGTTCGCGGCGTCTACCACCACCGCATGCACATCCCTTTTTCCTTGGGCGAGGATGGTGATGGCGAGGATAGTGCTTATGATTGCTGACTGATTGCGATGTGGGTACTCCCGCAGTGATGCACTCAAGATGCTTGCTGATCTGCCTCGGTCGCAGCATGGCTCTCCAACGTGGCGCAAGGGTGCCGAGCCGAGGCACTCGGCAAAGTGAGGCACCCACTGGCACGTGATGGTGATGGTGATAGCCACGATGATGGTGACACTGATGGTGATGATGAGGAGGATGATGATGCTGCTGATGCTGATGCTGCTGCTGCTGATGATGATGGATATGAGGACGATGACGATGGTGATGGATGATGATGGTGATGGATGATGATGGTGATGATGCATATGATGGTGGTGATGATGAAAACCATGATGACGATGACGGTGGTGATGATGATGAGGAGGATGAGGATGATGGTGCTGCTGATGATGAGGATGCTGATGAGGATGCTGCTGCCGTTGATGATAATGCTGATGATGCTGAGGATGAAAATGAAGATGATGAGGATGATGATGGCGAGCGGCTCCGCAGAGGGAGGGCGACCCAGCGGATTCGCTCCCCGTTCGCCGACAACACGCACGCCGTGCCTCCGCCTCTCGCGCGGGGGCCGTCGCCTCCGCACAACGCCCGCGGCCTCGGCGGCCCGCACCGCACACGCAGGGGGGAGGGAGGCGGAGGACGAGAAAGGGCGAGCGGTCCTTTGGCCCCAGCGCGCCGAGGCACCTCGGCATCCGCCGCGCTCGCGCGCGCGCTCGCGGAATGTACGTAAGCGTCCACTCGCGCGCGGTCACCAGCAGACGCCCATGCCTGGCGAGCTGCACCCGGGGCAGCCACACGTCTGCGACCTCTTACGGAAAATGCGCCAGTGGATCTCCCTGAATACACTGAAGGGGGGAGGGGGTTCCAGAACCCCCCCCCCCCCCCCCCCCCCCCCCCCCCCCTCTCCCCCTTGGTTGGCGCTGGAAAGGGGGGGAGAGGGTTCGGACCCCTTCCCCTCCCTCCCCCCTTTTGCGCCGGAAAGGGAGCCGGGGAGGGGGGGGCCCTCTCGCTTCTCCTATCCGCGCCAGAGAAGGTGTGTAGGGAGTACGGAGTTGGGAGTAGGGAGTGGCGAGTAGTGAGTTAGTGCGTAGTGAGAAATGGGTATTGGGTTTTGAATAATGGGTAGTGAGTGGCGAGTGGGGAGTAGTGAGTAGTGAATAGTGAGTAGTGTGTACTGATAAGTGAGTAGTGAGTGGCGAGTAGTGAGTAGTGAGTAGTGAGTAGCGAGTAGTGAATAGTGAGTACTGAGTAGGAAGTAGGGAGTAATGAGTAGTGGGTAGTGAGTAGTGAGTAGTGGTGGCGAGTAGTGATTAGTGAGTAGTGAGTAGTGGGTAGTGCGTAGTGAGTAGTGAGTAGTGGGTAGTGAGTAGTGAGTAGTGAGGAGCGAATAGGGTGTAGTGAATAGTGAGTAGAGAGTAGTGAGTAGTACGTAGTGCGTAGTGAGTAGTGATGAATAGAGAGTAGTGGGAAGTGGCAGTGGGTAGTGTGTAGCGGGTAGCGAGTAGGGAGTAGCGAGTAGTGAGGAGCGAATAGGGCGTAGTGCGTAGTGAGTAGTGAGTAGAGAGTAACCAATCGTGAGTAGTGGGTAGTGATTAGTGAGTAATGAATAGGGAGTAGCGAGTAGTGAGTAGTGAGTAGGGAGTAGGAAATAGTGAGCAGTGAGTAGTAAGAAGTGGGTAGCGAATAGTGGGTAGTGAATAGCGATTAGTGAGTAGTGAATAGTGGGTAGTGAGTAGTGACTAGTGACCTGTGACTCGTGACTAGAGACTATGTAGTGACTAGTGAGTAGGGAGTAGTGAGTAGCTGGGAGTGAGTAGTGAGTATTGAGTAGTGAGTATGGGAGTAGCGAGTAGTGAGTACTGAGTACTGTGTAGTCAGTATTGTCCAGGGAGTAGGGAGTAGCGAGTAGCGGGTAGTGAGTAGTGATTTGTAGGCACTGAGTAGTGAGTAGTAGATCGTGGGTAATGAGTAGTGATTAGTGAGTAGTGAGTAGGGAGTAGTGGGTAGTGCTTAGTGAGTAGTGAGTATTGAGCAGTGCGGAGTGAGTAGTGAGCAGGGAGGAGGGAGTGGTGAGCAGGGAGCAGTGAGCAGCGAGCAGTGGGTGGTGGGTAGTGAGCAGTGGTCGTGAGTAGTGAGTAGGGGTAGTGAGAAGTGAGTAGCGAATAGCGAATAGTCAGTAGTGGGTAGTGAGTAATGAGTAGTGAGTACTCTTTGGGGCTGGGGTTAGTGGTTGGGGTTAGGGTTAAGGATTCGGGTTTCGGGTTAGGGTGAGGACTAGGGATTAGGGGTGGGGGGGTCGGGTTCTGGAGTCAGGGGGCGGCGTGGCGAAAGGGGGTGAGGGGGAGGGGGGGGGGGGGGGGTGCGGCCAAAGGGGCGGGAGGGGGGGGGGGTTCGGACCCCCCCCCCCTTTTGAAAGGGGGGGAGGGGGGGGGGTCCCCGACGACGGATCGGGGAAAGGGGGGGAGGGGGGAC